GCTGAAGCCATCTGACATACTGAAGTTAGTTTGCTCTTTAGAATCAAAGATAGATATCTGGAACTCAAATTTCCGCTAATGAAAGTCTTTGTTAAGAGATAAGGTTTGGAAAACTTCTAGACACCATTCAGGTTCTCAGGCTTTCTTCCCCTTGTCAGCAGCTGCAAATGTCAGTGTCCTGTGAGCAACATACAGTAGGCAAAATGTCATACGATGGCCTTTCATTTGCCTCATTGTGGTAAGCTCCATGGATTCTGCATTCATTCATTCATTGTGTCAGCACTAGGAGTTCAGAGCAAGTAACACTTAAGCTGATCCTGTCTGATAGCTGGAGAGAAGAGGATTTAGGACACCAGAGCTCATTCCCAGCTCCACTGGAAGCACAGGGTAGCCACAGGAAACCTCTGCAACCCGGTTTCTCTAGTGATGAAATGAGGGAAACTATCACTCAGGGAAACTATAACTGACTTGTGATTAAAAAACACATTGAGTTCATCAAAGACTAGCTAAGCCACCGAGGAGGTTTTGTTGAGGAGGTGGTGGTGTCTTTTATTCTTTCTTTAAAGCAGGCAAAAATAATCCAGTGGGCATCACAAAGTAGGAAACAAGTAAACAATATTGATTAGAATTGTCTAACTTAACCAGCAGCTTCTCAGAGGTCTGCACTGTTTATATGCCTTTGAAGACATTCTGCTGAAGAGGCCAAATTTTCATGGTAGCACAATTATGTGAAAGATGGGTCTCTGCAGAGGATCTCTCAAATTTAGCTCTACAAGATGTCTCAAAAACCCCCACAGAATTTTAAACCTTGGCCGTAATGTCATAATGATTGGTTACGTGAATATCACAATTAGATTTACTTTTTTTTAATTACTGAAGTGTCATAAAAATGTGGACATGTAAGATACAAGCTATACACATGAAACAAATCATTCTTGCCTTGGCAATGTATCAATTCCCTGCCCCGGGTCTCTCTAGTTTTGAAGAGCACTGTGCTTTCCTCTGCTGTTCAAGTCTTTGTTAGATGCTGATAGGCACTCACTCCTCTGTTGAGACATTAAATTGCTTTACACAGGCTCCTTGTTTAAAAGGAGATTAGGGTCCTAGAGTCTGAATGGTGCAATTTGCTCAGCACTCTTCACTGCCACAAAAATCAACAAGAACCAAGAGTACAAAGCTCAGCATGCTCAGATCCGTGCAGGATGGAGCTTTCAGCTACAGAGGTGTAGTGAGAGGACACAGAGGACTCAATAAACGAATTACAATGCTCTTCCCCTTACCAGTAAGAAAAAGGGAGAATATTTTTTATTGTAAATAGGTACATTTTGAGAAGCTAATTAAAGTCCTGTTGTTTATGTTGCTGGCCAGCTTTAGTTTTGTATTATGTCAGTGCCAAAAGGCCCCCATTGAGACCCAGTCTCTGCTGTGCGTTACACAAGTAGGGGGGATATGGCTCGAGGAACTATGCATAACCTGGCAGTGAATATCTCCAAGGCTGAAAATGAAAGAAAGGATTTCTTACCATCAGATCTGAACCAGGCTTTCCCTGGGGTTAAAAATATACTTTTAGCATACATCTTGATGTGTTCATAACTGGCATCTCATGTTTCAGGGCCTGTGTTCTCAGGATCCTGGACTCTGCCATGAAATAAACCATTTCCAGACCCACCATCCTACCCAAGCAATTAAATACACAACAGATGGAAGAACTTTTCACCACCATTTAGTCAGGGAACTGAGGCAGTGTAACTAAATTGTTTTCCAGGAGTTTCTATTGAAGCTAAGAACAGAAGTCAGACATGCTTAGACTCATTTGATGCCATTATCCAGAAATCAAATCCTCTCATTTCCAAACCTCCTTTACATAGATTGATAACAAACATGTTAGAAGTTGCATGTTTGTTTGTTTTTAAGAGGTTGGGCAATTTAAACTGCTCCTACCAACAGCCAATAATCCCTTCCAAGCCAATGGGAATGCTCTGCAGCAACAGGACTGTGAAGATGTTGTGGATTTGGACATCATACCTGGGAAAGAACTGTTTTCAAGACCATTCATTTAAAACACACCATAAAGTTCCACACCACTGGAAATGCTGACACAAGCTTTTAGCATTATGTGGCCTGTTCCTTAACACAAGCACCCCATGTTTTAAAAGTGATCTGAGCTATCTTTAGGTCCAGTAAGGTATCAGCTGCCACATGGAGTCTCTGGGATTTTGTTTACATGATTGACAGTTTTCCATGCTCCAACAGACCACGCACCAGCAACTCTTAGATACGTACAACAGAACAAAACCCCTCCTGGATGGCAGTTTCATCTCTTCAATAGCACTTTCCTTAGACCTGTCATCATAATGAGAATGTTTACACAAGAGCACTGATAACTGACTGAAGGGATATGTGACCTGGATTAGTGGCAGTTTTAAACAACTGCCTTCAATAAACCTTTCAGCTTCCTATCTTACAGTCTTGAGGGAGTTTTACTTCTCAGAGGAAGAAAAATGTTATTTGCAAAAAACCTATTTCCATCACTCTACCCAGTACTTCTTGTGCAATCCCTTGTTTTGTTTGCCTAAATTTAGGTCCAGAATTTGCAAAACTCAAGTTTGGTGGCAGACCTCTCACACGCACCTTTCAACACTCGAGATGCACTCAGAGTCACACAGAAGATTTTGAAGACTGCCTAAGGGAGTGCAACACCACATGGCAATTGTGCTGGTTGGCATTCAGGAGAGATGTAGCACAGCAGATCACAGATAAATCCAACTAGCTGCATGTGGCACGTGGAGCAGGAGACAGTGGCACTAGACTGTGCATGTTACCAGGTGAAAGCATTGAAGCAAGACAGTCTAAGAAGCTAATAGGATGTAGGAGTCTTACTGCTAATGTATGAAACTCGGCAAGACAAGGTAGCAAATGCTTCCAAGATTAGACTCATCTGTCAACTTGTCTGAGTGGTAACTAAGTGCCTCAATCTCTACTACCTGGCGTCTCCAGGAATCTATGCAAACTTAGTGAAAAATATCCAATTTGTGGAAAAAAAAGAATATGGAAGCACAGAGTTCAATTAGTTTTAACTGATGCAGAATTTTATCCTTAGAAAAGTTTCACCACTGGCATATATCACTAAAGTTTTTTAAGAGAGAGAAAAATTACTGTGCTACACTAACAACATCTCACACCCAAAGATTTTTTTCTAATTGCCTCCTGAAAAAAAAAAAAAAAAAAGAAATATTTAGATGAAAATTTAATTTAAAAGTGAAGACAAGACACTTACCCTTCTTCACTCTCTCCTCCTTGATGGAGGAATCTGGAACAGTAACAGACATAACGCATGCACATTTTTAATACTTGCATGTATTAAATACATGGTCTGACTGAAAACATGCCAGAATATTCCAATATCCTGGCTACAACTCTGCTAATCATCTCCATTTCAAAAGTGTAATGAGGATTTATGAGGAAATTAATTGAGAAATGAGGCTGAAGGGGTGGGGGATAGCCTTGCCCATTTGGGAAATGAACTCGGGGTCACCTTTAACCTCCAAGCAATTCTTTGTCACAGAGCACAAAGCAACTCATCATACCAGAACAGCAGCAGGACAGAAACCAAGCAGAAATCCGTCTGGTTGAACACCTTCTTTCCCAGGGATTAATTCAAAGGGATGCACCGGTGTTACTGTGCTCACAGCACCTCTGAGGGCTGTTTTTAAGGTGATAGCTCCTAACAGGTGACCTATCTGTGGCTGCTAATAGAACCAGTGGATACTGGGGTGAGCAGCTTCCAAACCCCAAACTGATGTTTCCCTTAAGAATCCTGTCCCAACTCAAAAGCTTTGTGGCAGCATCCCAGTTCTCCAGCCCTTGGGTGGTCTTGTGGTTGACTATTGGTACTAAGGGGCAGAAGCAGGAGGGAGAAGGTCCTTAAGTCCCAGTCCCCACAGCAGCTGAACTTCTGCCATTCTGTGATCTCTTCTCTCCAGTTTATCTGCAACAGAGAAGTGAATGGTTGAAGAAATGACAGAAAGAACAAAGCACCACAGTGGTTTTGGTGTTAATGCTGCTCATGGAAAAGTCAAAACTACACGAGGAAGAATGAGATCCAGAAGAAGGAATCCTCCAGATGGACACAGCAGAGCTGACAGGTCTGACCTGTGACCTACATTATAATGAGGAAATACAGAAGAAAAATAATGTACATATGTTTTTAATTACCTTTTTATTGTTTAAGGTAGAGAGGATGACTTACAAGTCCCTTTATAAAGTCTCTTTTATTTGCTCTAGTTGTCTTGCTATAATCTAGAAAGGGTCAGACCAAAACACACCATCTTGGCCACATCTGAGGGAAGTGTCTGGGAGAAGACATCTGGTAATTCCAGTTTTGGAACGAGGATGAAGAAGACAAAGAGACCAAGTTCTTCTTTCCAAGACAAAGTTTGTGCCAAAGAAATTCTGAAGCCAAAAAATGAGGTATGCCTAAGATGAAGATACCTTACAAAAACCTGGATCCAGCATGCAAAGTAGAGCAGTCTGGTAAGTCTTCAATAAAGAATGATGGAATACATTAATGAAAGAGGCAAAGTTGGCCTGCACTTCTCTGAAGGTAGAGAAAATCTGTATATTTTTGCAGCTGGTACAAAACAGAATCCTTAAGAATCCTACTTTACTGCTGCTTCTCCTTAAAGTCATAAGCAAAGATAAATTACGATGACGGATGCAAGATTGTTATGCTGAGCCCCACAAAACTGCACAGAGCAAATGACTTGTACTGTCTTTCTAAGAGGCTGAATGTGTCATGCTCCTGAAGTGCTGTTGCTCAAGAATCAGCAAGACCTTCCTGCAAATCAATGAAGTAGAGCCTTGCTATACATTTTGCAAGTACTATTTTTGTCCTTTCCCAATTTAACTTCCAAACCTTCCTCCGCCCGCATGTCCCTGCCACAGATCCCTAATTCACACAGCTAAAACCAGAGTGCCTCCTACAATTTTCTCCAGCAGGTGCAGTCCTTAAAGACAAAATTTATTTTCCCCTTTCTTTGAAAATCATCTTCATTCAACCTGGCTCCTAATGGAAATTGACTGCACACTGAACGTTTACATAAGATCTCCTCGGGATTTATGCTCTTAAACATTAGGAGTGTTTTAATCTGCCCTTTAAGGGACAGAGAAACTGATGGGACTGGCTAAAATGTCTCAATACAATGAATGCTGCCCACTCGTTATGGGCAGCACTGGCTGCACGAACGCTGTTGGCTCTGCTGACAAAGAGACCAGCAGCAGAAGATGGGGTTACAGCTGACTCAAAGCTGCCGATTTCACCCGGGGTTCAGGGCTCCGTTGTCAGCGAGATGCTGCGTGACCAAGGCACAGGGAGTCCGAGAGGCTGCAAGGCCCTGGCTCTGAGCACAGCTCTCACTGTCCCTACCCCTGCCCCTGAGCCAGCACCCGTGGCCGGCCCAGCTGGCAGCAGCAGGGACTCTGCTCACACGAGGCAGAACTGCTGCACTCCCAGGGCAGCACACAGACCAGCCTGTCACTTGCTGCTGCTCCTTACCCACAGGACTCTTCTCACACTGATCTATACTGAAGCCCCACTGCTCGTTCCCCAGCAGCGTTTCCCAGAAAAGCCTCTCTGCTGTAGGAGCTCCTTCCCTGCCTGTGGACTCCACAAGGCAGCTAGCCCTGCACTATCGGATACAGCCTCCTTTGGACTCAGAAAGTCTTTTGCTAGAAATAATACAGCTCTTTATGTAACACCAACAGTATGTATCATCACAGTGAAATACGTACCTATGCATGTGCAAGCATACGTGCAAACCATACTCATGCACACATATAAACACAGCTCATTTCTCCATGATAAACTGTAAATCCAACTCTTGAACTCAGACTGACTGGCCATACCATGTCTGAGTGAGGAGAGAGCCAGATACCTTCTCCTTGTTGTAGCTTTACTGCAGCCAGATGTCTTGCACCAGAGAAGACCGTGATCTAGCATGGCTATTGGATCAAGACAATGACTGAAGATCCCTGTGGCTTCTGGGCACGCAGGAACAAAAGAAATCCTTCTGCTGGAAGAGGGGTTAGGTAAAATTCACTGCTGTTTCCACATTTGCAGTTTTGTGCCTCTCCTGCAGCTCTTTCTGATCCCATGTCCTCCCAGGTAAAGCTAGTCAGCTAAAGCAAAGCTGTACAAGAGACATTAAGTCATGCAAATTCAAGAACCAAAACTTTAATGGGAACCATTTTTGCTTTCAACAGGGAAATACAAAGCCAATGCCACCCTGAAGTTCCAGAGTACTGAATTAACACTCTGGTCAGCTGTAGGGCTTTTGGACAGCTATATATATTTTTTTTTCTCTTCTAAGTCTATTTAAACCTGTCCACATTTCAGTGTGCTAAAGCTGTTTAGCTGTATGAACTCCACTCACGGCCAGATGTAATAAACATCACATGCTGTAATGCAACTAGGCAGTTGTGCTAGTTTGCTAGAGATCCTCATTCAAAAGAGTAGTTTTAGAGATCCTGTAAATGCTGAGCTGCTCACTGAAAACTAATGCATGGAACTTGTTCTCCACTGAAAGACAAGGTCTGCCAGTGGGGTAGGAGGGAAGTCTGTTTACACCAGGCTCCTCTGAACTAACAACTTCTTTGTGGTGTTTTACTTCAGAGGCAGGATCATGCAGTTGATTTAAAAGACAGCTATAAGCATCTTTTATCCTTGATGGATAGAGAGCAGACTATGTAAAACTCCTGCTCTGTGGGCTGCATGGTAAAGAGCAGAACAAGTCTCTTCAAGGTATAAATTTAAAGGAGGACCTACAATATGGGGAAATCTTCAAAGGACAGCCAGGTTTCCAGTCCAACAACCCTGCCAAGTGTTCCTTTAATCCTTTATTTACCTGCAGGCTTTTACTGGTATTGGGTTTCAGCCTGAAACCCAAAAGCTGCAAGCATATGCTGTGGAGCCCTAATGAGAAACTCAATCTATTAATGGGCAGACCTTCTCCACAGGACTGGGTCTTGGCAACATGAGTCAGTTCCTGAACTTTCACCTCCCACTTGGCAGCACACCAGACTAACTCCACATCTCTCAGCTGGCTTACATTATCAGCTCATTATTAACATACATCAGGGCCAGATCTCTTTTACATGCACCCAGCAAACAGGAAACTACACTAAGGGAGGGCTCCTCATTTTTGTCTGACTCTGAAGCTCATAAAAATGACTGACTAATTAGAACCAGCTATAGCAGAGGTACTCTGCAGATTTGCTCACATGTTCTCTGCCTTAGTCTTGACTTGGGATAAGCACTACAAAACACCATGGTAGTCCATGCTGTCTGCAATAGTCAAGTATCCCTTTCCCTTGCCACAGGATCTTACAGCTCCTACCATCTAGAGCTGCTGTGAGGCAGAGATGTTTGCTGTGAGATAAGGAGAGTGGCACGACTCATTATGCAGACAGAATAAATAACTTGTCTGACACCACACAGTCTACAGCAAAGAGAGCTGGCTTTCTTGAAATCAGCTCCTCTGCATGTTCTCCCCCCTGCAGTAAAGAGAACTGTGGGAACCCTCTGCAGCCAGTTTCAAAAGCGAATGGTGTATATTTTAGATCTACACGCTTGCATGGACTGAGAGATCTAGGTTCAGAGTTTCACTTTGAAGTGGCCTGCAAACCACCAGCAATGTACACACCGCACTTTGGGAAAGCATTCTAGGGAGTCTCTCATGATGAGAGCCATCTCTCATCAAGCATGGAAGATGATTCTCTTCCACAGTAAGCACTATCCCTAGTGATATCCTACTATTTGAGTTGTCCCACTTTTTTCCTTACACAATTAGTATTCTTTACTTTTGTTCTCTGGTCTCCCCTCCTTACCAGTCATCCTCATGCTCAGAAAGATTTGCGGAAACAAAAAAGAATCTCTCTCCTGCAGATGCCTGGCTCAAGCCAGGCAGTAACTGAAAGCTGAATCAACCTGGTACCTGTTTCTGTATCTGAGCACAAATTGCCAGTGCACAATCAATGCCTGGGTCAGAAAATGTACACACACAGGGGGCAAGAAAGGTCAGAAAAGTCTCCTCAGGTCAGAAGGGGGGATTGGGGGCTGGATGGGATATTACCAATGTGGATTAAACTAATTCTGTTAGCATTCTGTACCTGCAGTCATCTTAGATTAAGGTGCATATCTCCACTTAATGCATAGAGCCACACCTTTTTTTTAAACAAGTGTTCAAAAAAAACCAGCCTTAACCTCAATCAGTATAAATTCTGGCAAAATCTCAGAGCCTACGCAAGCCCCTAATTTTCTCTGGCTGATCAA